ATGACTTATTATTCTTGGGCCTTAGTTGCTTAGTTGTCATTCAACTATTGATAGCTTTGGTATTGACCCAGATTGTGTTAGTTTGATTTAATTGTGAACTTTGATGGAGATCAATGGCTGAGATTAAAACTTGGCTAGATATTTTCCTTATATTCACATGGGTTCACTACTTGGATGACTCTTCCTTCTTCGAGACTCTTCTCTCTGACTCTCGTTCCTTTCTTCTCTCTGACTCTACGATTGGAGGCTGCCTTCCTCCTTTTTTCCTTTGGACACATAAAATTGATCTTTAGCCCATTAATTGAAGAGATTCTTGTGTGTTTTAGGCCTGAAATAGTGGCTAAGGGTTGGGTCTTCTCGAGGGCTTAGGTCAGTGTTTTTTTGGCATTATTCTTGGCTGCAGTTGGTAGACCATTTGGTCAATGATCCAAGCCAAGTGGGAAGCATTCATTACCGGTTCTTGTACTCTCTCTAGACGGTGATTTNGGAAGCATTCTTTACCGGTTCTTGTACTCTCTCTAGACGGTGATTTGCAAGCGTGGGAGGCTGTTCCTGAGCCTGAATCTTGGCCAGTGCACAAGTGAGGAAGAAAGGGAAGTTGCGTTTCTGCCTTGGTTCTTTTTCTGTCTCGTTTAAGCTGTCCTTTGTACCTATGATTTACATATGTATTCTGTTGATTTATGATATATCTGTAAATGCTATGGTATATGTTGATTAGTTCATATGTTATGCAAATGTTGGATCATTATGCTATATATTTTGAAAAGGAGAATAATCTGATTTTGAGTAGTTTTGAACTCTGTCATTGCTGTGATTGAGCTTGTGAATTCGGTTAGCCTCAGTTGGTGTCTGTATATTGCTGTGAATTTCCTAACAGGACCTATGAGATAAATACTTATCTTTCATAAGTAAGATTACACAATATGCCATTAATATTTGAAAAGACAAATTGAATATATAAGATTTGTATAAAAACTCAATTAACAGCAAATACATAGAAGTCAATGGCCAGTTCATGTATCTTTGAAGATTACATGAAATTACATAAACGAGAAAATCTTGTTCCAAGCAACGCCTTGCGGGAACATACGGTCATATAAATATTATCACTTCCGAAGTTTAGGAATTTTGTCATGACTAGCAAAAGCAACTGAGCCTCGGAACAGACAACGAAGCGATCAATCCTTCATGTCCCGGAAGGGTCAATGTGTCATTGTCTTGTTCTCTAACACGTTCCAACAACTACAAGCAATTCCTCGAGTCATGTATAAAACAAAGAGACGTTAAGGCAAAGCAATGGAGAATACATTGATCATGGACGAGTTATGAACGAAACATGGGATAGT